CCTTCATCACAATAGGGTTGGGTTAAAAGTTAAGCCTTCATCAATTGTTGCTCTTACAGAAGATCAGAGTTGGATTCCCAGCATCCACATGGTGCTACACAACCATTCACAATTCCAGTTCTGGAGATCTGATGCCCTCTTCCTCCTCCACAGTGGTGAACAGACATATATGCAGGATCAGCACTCATACACACAAAATCCATAAGTCTAGAAACTTGGGCCTTGACTCATGCTCTTTCTAAGAGGTCCCGTATGCTCTTTATGTATTTTGTTACACTATTTTTGTGAGCATTGTACCAGATTATTAAATGAGCTGGGGGAATGTTGACTGCAGAAGACATCCTGCATGCTCGTGCCCTTCCTTGTCTTAAGGCTTTAGTCATGACGTGCTGAAGTTAAGAATTATCTCATTGAGCCGGGCGGTGGTGGCGCACGCCTTTAATCCCAGCACTCGGGAGGCAGAGGCAGGAGGATCTCTGTGAGTTCGAGGCCAGCCTGGTCTCCAAAGCGAGTTCCAGGAAAGGCGCAAAGCTACACAGAGAAACCCTGTCTCGAAAAACCAAAAAAAAAAAAAAGAATTATCTCATTGAGCTTGTGCTTTTGCTCTGCTGTGTAAATATTGGTGTCTTAGAGTTACTATTGCTGTGATGAAATGCCATGACCAAAAGCAAGTTGGGGAGGAAAGGGTTTGTTTGTCTCATACTTCCACATCATTGTCCATCATTGAAGGAAGTAATGAGAGAAACTCCAATCGAGGAGGATCCTGGAGGCAGGAGCTGGTGCAGAGGCCATGGAGGAGTACTGCTCCCTGGCTTTCTCAGCCTGTTTCCTGTAGAATCCAGGACCTCCAACCCAGGAGTGGCCCCACCCACAATGGGCTGGGTCCTCCCCTATCAATCATTAATTAAGAAAACACCCTCCAGGCTTGCCTGCAGCCCAATCTTATGAGGCATTTTTCAATTGAGGTGCCCATCTCTCAATGTCTCTAGTCAAGATGACATAAAACTAGCCAGCACAATTGGCCTTTTTGTGCTGTGTCCTGATATAAAATGTTTTTCTTGTTATTGAACTGGATCAAGATGATTTGGATAACACTGAGTTACTTTTAGGGTTGTTCTCTGGCCATATATTTATCATCTCTCTCTCTCAGTCTCTCTCTGTCTCTCTGTCTCTGTCTCTGTCTCTCTCTCTCTCTCTCTCTCTCTCTCTCTCTCTCTCTCTCTCTTTACAAGTTTGTTTTGTATGTGTGTGTGCACTATTATATCTGGAAGCCAGAGTAAACATGGGTGTTTTCCTCAGTTGATTTCTACTTTTTTATTCTGATAGACAGTGTTTCACTGAACCTGTAGCTCACACATTTGTTTAGACTGGCTGGCTAGCATGTCCTAGAGACTACCTGTCGGTTCCTTCCCAGTAGTGAGATTGCAGCTGTGTATCCCAGTTCCTGGATTTTAAGTAGGTTCTGGGACCTGAACTTGGTTCTTTATGCTTCTATGGCAAACACATTACTGACTGAGCCATCTCTCTTGTCCCATCTACCACACTTTTCTTATCTAGGCAAATCAGGACTTGGAAAGGTTGATGGTATGTATTCCAAAGTTGGTATATTCTTATCATATGGCAGATGAATGATAAAGAAATTGAACATATTTGATTTTTTTGTATGATTTGTCAAAACTATGCTATTATTTTTAAATTCACTGCCAGACTTTTATTGGTCTCCTGATCCATTCTGCCTCACATAGTCTCTGGCTATCTCTAATTTATCACAGCAAATTAAGTAACCCTGACAAGGAGCCCAACGCAATGGCCTTGGCTCTATCTTGTCAGGTGTGATGGTTTGAAAGAAAATGGCCTCAAAGGGAGTGGTACTATTAGGAGGTGTGGTCTTGTTGGAGGAAGGGTGTCACTGTGGAGGTAGACTTTGAGGTCTCTTTTTTCAAGTTTCCCTCAGTGTGACAGTCAGTCGACTTCTTCTTGTCTACAAGATGTGGCACTCTCAGCTCCAGCACCACATCTGCCTGCTCACGACCGTGCTCCCCTTCATGATCATAATGGACTGAACCTCTGAAACTGTAAGCAAGTCACTCACAACTAAATATCTTCTTTATAAGAGTGGCCCTGGTCATGGTGTCTCTTCAGAGCAATAGTAACCCTAACTAAGACATCAGGTGGTGTTTCTACCCAGCCCTCAGCTGCACCCTCTGCTGTCCTTTCTACTGTGTGCTACCTCATGTCAGAACTGAGACAAGTCTCAGAGATGAGCAGCTTCAGTTGAACAGTTGAAAGTGGTGCTCTTTGTTTTAAGAAATCCCATTCTGTATTTCTGCAGAGTAAGATGATTATGGATACAGAAGATGGACATTTGCAGAACACTTGGATTTTATTTTTCTAGGGTAACACCTGGCACACTTCACTGACTCATGGCCTGGCATCTCCTCTTGGGTGAGCTTTCCACAATTCATCTTTATGATTCACCATTTCCAATGTTAGTAATTTACAGTAATGAGCCATAAGTTGGCACCCAGGCAGGGTGAGACAGAAGCAACTTTCACTGTACTTGAGGGATACATTCTCTGCCTTCTGAAAGCATCTTAATGATTCTAAGTGGTTTGGATATTTAGAGGAAGTTCAAAGGAACTGAATCAATTGTACATCATTAAAAAACACAGTACTTAAGATGGGGTGAAGGCCTCTGTTTGCCTGTTTGATGGACTGAAGGGTCTGAGGGGTGGCAGTGTAGAGAAATGTTGAAGCAATGCTTTTGCTCCTTAGGAACACCCAGTGAATGTATGCCTTACGTTGTGGTTATGGCTGGGTTCCACATTTGCCAGGGATAAGGATGTGTGAATCCAGGAATGTTTGGGAGTCTCCAAACATCCTAACTATTATTGTTTTTCAAATAGTGTGTATCTTTGTCAGAATACTACATCACCTTTAATTTTTAAATCGATGTGTATGTATCAGAAGATAGAACCTATATGTTTCCAAGGTCTAATTTACAACAATATGAAGAGTAATTTAATATGTTTAGAGCCATGTTTTTTATTCTAAATGATTTCTTTTGAGATAATGAGAATGAATATCCATCCATGTGCATTATCAACCACATAGATTGGATCATACCACCCAGAGGGGCAGTATCTTAATATAAGAACAAAAACATTCTCTCTAAGAGTAGACCATTTAATATGGCTTCATTATTAAGTGGAGTGAAGAATTCTAGTGCTGGGAAATTCCTGCCACCTATTTTTAGATGCATATTTGTTTTTCTTCAGTACTCAGAAAAGGCACCTGATTATGCACTTAGTGGAAGAAATATGGCCATTGCCTTTGGGCAACACAGGATTTAATCTTGGCCTTGACCATGACTGTTGGAGTGTCTCTGGCCCCTCACTTTACCTCTTTACAATGTACTTGTTTTCACTGTGGAAAGGGTAAGAACACATCTCTGGCTGTATTCTTGTGAGAAGTAAGTATCTAGTGTGAGGAACCCGTCTAACACAGGTTCTGATTTAGCAGAGGCTCAGTGAATACAGCAGTTAGCTCCAGGATCTGCCCAAGTCATGGTACAGTGTGGAGAGACCAAGGGGCATGGTCTGGGCTTAGCTCTGCACCTAAGGAAGGAAGCATTTTGCTTTCCATATACCATTGTCTTGTCTTTACTCCAAGACTATTGCAGATGTGCCTTCAGATATCACACAGACCTGAATCCAATTCAAGGTCAGCTGTGTCCTCTCTGTATTGGGGAGGGGCAGCATAAGAAGGTGTGGAAGTTTGGAGGATATGCTCAAATTACATTATATACTAGTGTGGTGGTATTTTGTTCCCCAAAATATTGTGCACCCTAATAAACTTATCTGGGGGTCAGAGACAGAACAGGCACAATATTAAACATAGAGGATAGGCAGTGGTAGCACACACCTTTAATCCTAGCATTCCAGAGGCAGAACTCCATCTGTTCAAGGATACAGCCAAGCATGGTGACTCACGCCTTTAATCCCAGGGAGTGGTGGTAGAAAGCAGAAAGGTATATAAGGCATGAGGACCAGAAACTAGAAGCATTTGGCTGGTTAAGCTTTTAGGTTTTGAGCAGCACAGTTCAACTGAGAGCCATTTGGATATGAGGACACAGAGGCTTCCAGTATGAGGAAACAGATCAGCTGAGAAGTTGGCCAGGTGAGGTTAGCTGTGGCTTGTTCTGTCTCTCTGATCTTCCAGTGTTTACCCCAATAACTAGCCACAGGTTTGATTTCATTAATAAGACTCTTTAAGATTCCTGCTATATTCTAGGATGCAATATCCATAAGAAGCATAATACCAATGCTGTGTACAATGGATATACAGCAATTAAAACACTATGCCCTTTCAATGGCTCCATAGCACAGCTCTCTTGGCAGAGCCTAGTCTGAGGTTTCTACCTCCATTTTCTCTGCCTTGCTTGTTTTTTTCTCTATCACTTCATATTCCCAATCTGTGGGCAGATGGTTTCCTCTCCTGAGCTGAAGCATGAGGTAGGATGAGAAAGATAAGGGTTCTTTCCCTCTGTGTCTGCACTGATTAATTTTCTATGTATTTACAAAGATGTGAGTCATGGTGTCTGTCCAGCCAGCAGAGTAGAAGAAGACAGAAGGACAAACTCATGCAGACTACTGTTGCCTCTACCCATTGTGTCTTGTTAGCACAAATCTAGTCTTGCTTTGTTTGTTCCAAAAACCTGACCTAGAGGAAAGGTCATTCTTAAGTACAACGTTATCATGTGACATGATGACTCCAGCCTCATCATTCAGAGTTCACATTTGTGAATTTACCTACTCACTAAAAGTTTGAGTAACCACAAGCAATACAGAAAGTTTTTGTTTTCAGTCACTCATAGACATGTTCAGATTAACGATTTGAGTTCCTCCTAAAAACAGGTATCCAAATGATACTTGAACTTAGGCACCTTCTGCTTTTCTTTCCTCTCAGAAGGGACCAGAGGATGAAGACAGCAGGGGGCAGTGTGGGGCAGGGCAAGGACTCCGGTTCTGGGGCCAGTGGACATGGGACTGAATCCCATCTCTCACAGTGAGTAGGACAGCTTCATTCAAGTCCCTAAGCATTTCTGGACCTTGTTTCCTTGTTTTGATATCTGTCTGTCTGTCTGTCTGTCTGTCTGTCTATCATCTATCTATCATCTCTGTCTTTTCATATCATCATCATCAGCCTACCTGCCTTTCTGTCTATCAAAGTATATAATTATTGCTATCAAAGTATATAATTATTGCTGTGGACACACACACACACACACACACACTCATTCTTAGGAATAATGGTTCAGTATTCACTAGTTCAGTATTTTCAAAAGCATTATAGATGACTATGAATAATAAATCATGAGTTAGTGATTGTATATGTCCATTTGTCTTTGTATATGTTTTGTACACAGATTGAAAAAGTAAGCTGGGGTGATAAATAGACCCTGACATAAGGTCTAATTTTATCAATGAAATACACTGAGGTGTGAACTTGGATATGCCTCAAGGTGCTCTGATATTTAAATTTGGAGCCAATGTGTCTACCTTGCACCATTACAACCTTTTTATGGGAGAAATGAGAGTTTAACATACCCAAATATGCCTGATAACTTCTAAAGTATTATATTAATGTAAGACATTATTATGTAGCTCCATGGAGCTGGAATAGCCAGGAGTCTGAGATATTCATTCTATAGAGGATCTAGTTATAGTGAAACTGTTTATATCTAGCATCCATTTCATTTATTCATTCAGTAAATCAATTATTCAACTTTTTCAATGAACTTGTGTTAAAAATGATTATACCTAACCCCATGCAAGCTGCCTAGGCTGTACCAAGTCCCTCAGGTCTCTCTCTCAAGAATCACAAGAGGGAAGGAGGCAAGGATGCTGTTCAGATTCTAGAGTTGGGGCACACCAGGCTTCCAGGCTTCCGTCAGTCTCAAATTCTTCTTATGACCCCAGGTCTCCTGACTTTGGACTTTGGAGCTCCTGTCTACTAGTGCTAGTTGTATATTTGTGTTTATTTGTGCCCATGTCAAAGAACACAAATATGACAATGGAGAGATGACTCAGCAGTTAGGAGTTCAAACTGCCCTCACGGAGGCCCAGCTCTGTTCTGAGCACCCACACTAAGTGGCTCACAACAGCCTGTCACTGCAGCTCCAAGAAGGCCTGATCCCTCTGGCCGCTGAGGGTACCAGTCACATGCACATTCCCAACACAGACACATGCTTGCGTACATGGTAAACATAAATGTTTAAAACACAGAACCAGCGTGTGACAGGCAATGGGGATGGGTACAATGTGCTTTGATACTGTTCTGCTCCTGGTTCCTATGTTCCTCCTTCATTCCCCCATCTCCTTAGAGCCTCATGGATAGTGAAGTCCTTTCTCTGAGCCCACTCCTACTGCATCATGCCTAGAATGAACTACTCTAGAGATCCACGTGTGTTCAAATGATTCTTGAGTGTCAAGCATACATTGAACAAATGCTTTTGCTTTGGATGTGCTCTGCATTTCCATCGAAGATAAACACACTGAAAGGATTTCTTCAGGTCAACATGTGTATATGAGCCCCAAACATTGTTTTAGGGTATTATAATATAGGTAAATTTCAGATTGCCTTACTAGCATATAAACAGCAGACTCTCTGGAAATTGCTTTGCTATGAGATGCCAGTGGCCATAGAATCTGTGTTAAAGAAGCTACAGTAGAACTCCGGACTCACGCAAGCTAGGCCTTTCCCCTTTACAGATTCTGTCTAGATGATGTGGAGTCCTAACTTTGGCATGATTTGTATAAAAGTCGAATGCAATTGGGCTAAAATGCAGTGTGCTTTCCATCTTCTCTCCCCATCTTTTTTCTTCTTTTTTGTTTCCTCTCATCTCTTTGAGGCCCCTTATCCATCCATTCATTCCTGAATTTGTTTATTGATGTGGATTAATTGGAAGGTACTTTGATAAATAAATATGCCCAGTTGGAATAAATTGTGAATCTTGATGCACAGCCTCTCTGACAGTTTTTGGTATTCTGTACCTGCCAACTTCTAGAACACTTACTCATTAAAGGTATCACATATTTTTCTCCCAGTCTAAAAAAGGTAGAAACAACTCAGGCAACATGGGCTGAGCTTTCTGTTCTACCACCTGTGAGGTTTCAGATGCCACCTGGCCATGGCTTCTGGCAGCACAGTGAGAATGTTAAAAGCTGGAATTCTGAAGACAGGCTGCCTGAGCCCAGACTCTGTCTTTATCACTGTCTGTAACTTTGGGTAAATCATCTAGCTTCCTTCCATCTCGGTTTCACCATCTGCAAAGTGAGACAGACAGACGCTATCTGCTTCACAGAACTTTGCAGAATATTAAGTGGAAAGTCCCACAAAGCACACAGAACAGCACTTCTGTTACACCCAATGTTTTCAGTGTTTGATAGATGACATCAGCTGTTATTGCTGATGTTATCTAACGGAAGCAACTTTGTTGGTTTCTGGATTGATTAGTTAGCGTGCTGACTATTGTCTGCCAGAAATTTTAGATTTCTATTAAGACATTTGTTTGGATAATATAGAATCCCAAAATTAATTATTCCTCAAGCCTCAAGCGCCAGGATAGGACTGTAGAAACAATGGGTTCTACCTTTCCTAGTGAGGGTTTGGAGAATTATCTCCTAAAGTTGTATCTCTAAGAAGACACTTTATCTCTAAGCTAAAGAATCTAGAAATGACATACAAGGAACAAAACTGCAAATTTCAAGTATACCCTTATTCTTGTATCAAGAAATGCACTGATTGTTTTAAAAGTAGAATTCCATCAGAATCGCCTGGGAGATTTTTAATGATACAGGTTTCTGCATTTTAATTAGGGCACTATAAATTTGAATTCCCATTATTTTCTCCTCCTCAGTAATTTGTATGTAGCTAGCCTGATACCAGCATTTGAGCACTTGCACATACTGGAGATGGCAGTCTATAGCCAAATGCTATCCAAAGGTAGACACTCTAGAGCAGATGGGAAAGATCATTTTTCCACTTCATTTTGCCTCTGTAAAGGCATCTGGGACTCATGTGCTTCACTTCTGGGTTGGTGGCATCCAAGAGCAGCAGGCAAGGAAAAAGGGCCATTTGTGTGGCCATCCCCTTTTTTTCCGTGACTCTATCTACACTTGGAACTCAGATGTGAAAGATCTAGGAAACAGTCTGTGGTTATAGTACTTGTTTTGACAAAAAAAAAAAAAAAAAAAAAAAAAACCCACTGGGCCAATGAAAAAACAAACAAACAAAAAA